AAAGAATTGTGTGTTAAGAGCTCGCTCACCTTCCGTAAGGCGGCTGTGCTAAGGCAATGAGAGACTGAGCGCGGAGAGGAGAGTATGAGGCGAGAGAGCGCAATAGATGAGAGGGCGTCAGACAACAGTCTTTGGCGAACGGGAAAACTGAAGCTATTGAAGCTGTCTTTGCAGGTCACCATCGCGCTTGTCAGACCATTTTCACGTCTGTGAAATATGTTTGTGTTCCATTCAAGTCGGTATATGCTGCGAATTCCCACGATCAAGGACATACTGTCATACAATTTTCGCAATCGTGTAGGTTTCTGTGAAGGTTTTGATGTCCTGTTTTTATTTCGACTTCTCCTTAAAAGTTTTTTCACAAAGTGTTATACATCGGTAGGAGGGGAAGTATCTGCCCCAGTAAGCAGCCGATTTGCCTTCTTTTTTTTTGTTACACCTTGATTACTAACATGACGAGTTTGAGGCTTGCGAAAATGGGGTTTAGTGTACAAAAACTAGCCAACTGTGACGGTAACTAACTCAATCTTCCCTTACCAGGAAACAATCTCCGGTGCAACCTATCCTTGCACAACCTCATCACCACCGAGTTGGTCAGAAAACCTTAGCGTGATTCGTTTCGAATTTGTTCTCCTGGTTGGCCGTTGTGCCACGTAAGATTTTCAAAACAGTGTTTTTTATAAGAATCCACATTTTTACAACATCTCACATATCATGCGAAACCTTCCTCGCTCTACTAAGAGGCTCTTACTTTTCTGCTTTCTTCTGATCTTACTTTGACTATAGAAGCGGTCCAGTTTTATGCCTACTTTATAAGGTGAACCGCTCCACTCCTCGAGGATGACCAAATGACTTTGAAATAACTGCTCGCTAAAAGTGACAAAACCAATCACACATTCACATCCTACTCCCTCGCCACGGCTTTTTCCAAACGTTCGAAAAGTTTTTTTTTCAGCCTTTTGACGACGGAACTTTGGAGCCCCGACTGAAGTATAATAGTTAGCATAAGCCATCGAGTTCTGGTGGAAAAACCAAGTCTGAAAGACGAACGACATGATTCGCTGGGGCCTTAGTGTCCTAGGAGCGGAGGGCAAGCTTGGAGAGCTCATCTCAGACACATTCAAAACACAACAATGACTCCAAAGCAATGTCGCTCCTCGGGTGTGGAAGCAGCGTAGCATTGCTTCAGCATTATGGCAATGCTCAGTTTCAGAACTAACTATGACTCTTGACAAGCAAGGGGAGGGATTCTGGGGTGCAGAAGCAATTTTTAACTTCTTCGAAAATAGCCTCTTATCCTAGGCTTAGTCATGGGCACCTTTGTACACACTGCCCCCGAAGGGCACATTGCGTTAGTTTCGTATGTATATTTTGAAAAGCTAAGGACGCAGGACCCAAGCCCTCTTAGCCTTTTTGGGACTTAAGTAAAGATAAGCTGAGGGGCATTTTTGATTCAACATTGCGTGCAGCGACACCGATGCCATTTCGTACATCGACTCTACAGTAATAATCTCAGTGACACTTGCGACATGCTTCATCGCTGCGCCTGGCGCTGGTGAATACTGGGGCTTTCGAGGCGACGTGATGGCAAGGCTTCCTACTTCAGCTTAAGAGTGGAGGACCTACAGGGAAAATGAAGACTGCACACGCACTCTAATGTCCCCCCCTCTCTCTCTCCCAGGACGTTCTAGATAAATTCACTGAATTTGGTGAAGAAAAAGAAAGTTGCCACCAAATCGCGTCAAAGTCAAAAATGGATTTTATATACGTGATCAGGGCGATTTTATGCTTAAGTTGAGATTTTTGAGGAATTTTCCTGTGATCTTTCTGGGTTTGTTATAGAGCAGTTGTCCTTGAAGCGAGCGTTTCCGTTTTTTGATGATCTATGGTTGTGACCATATGGCCAGGAATTAGACTTCTTCTATTGAGAGTGGTTATTACAAAACGACATCCTATCCGAAATTTACCAAGCATCAGCTTTTGAATTTATTTTTTTGTTAGAGTGTCATTTTGAATGTTGACCGCGTCACGGCCTCTCTCTCGTCTTACTGCAAGTTTTGTTTTTGCATGCCTAGCATTTATCATGTTCACAGGGAATGTAGGAAAACAGGTGCACTTTTGTAGAGAACGTAAATTGCAAATTCCTTTTCAATGAGAGGAAATTAATGTAATATAAGATATAATAAGTAATGTAAAAATGGTATAAAATAAAAAAAGTTAGGAATTTATGTCTGAGATAAGGGTCTTTCTTACAATGCAAATCGAAGCAAATCGAAAAATTTCCTCTAAAACGGCTCACCTGAGAAGCCAGCATGAACACGTAGGAATTGTTGTCAGCGAAGAAAAAGAAGTACGTGTAGATTCCTGAAAGCGGGTACCCCTTATCTGACAACACAGCTGTACATTGTGTACATGTTGGTGCTCAAGAAAATGGCTACAGAACCCATTCCCATTTTTCCAAGAAATTTTAACCCAGAATCGTCAATTTAGGCACAATTCAAGTCAGGGCTACCGTACAGTTTTCGACAACTTTGATTATAAAAAATCTAAAAATTTTGGATCAACACCGACAAATTGCACGCAATTTTTGCCAAGGTCGAACAACACGGTGATCAGCCAGCTTGTAGTGATTGGCTTGCTGCTTTCATAATTGTTCACCACCTCATTTCCTTGTGAGCTCTCTCCAAGTAGGAAGGAGGGTCACAGCAAGGGAAAGGGATTACACGAGAGATCACGTCGAAGTACAGCAGACAGCGTGTACGTGCGAATGAGTAAAAATGGCTACGTTCGCAGCGATTCAGGCAAGTTCGCCCTGTCGCGCACTTTCAAGTTTCGACGGTCACATGATTTTGCTTCTTTACCTGAAGAGAGAGCCACTCCGATGATTTATTAACAAGACGTGCCTTTAAGTTATGTAAATCATCAAGCTAGTTCATTCGTTAAAAATTGACGAATGTTTTTATTTTGCAAAACGTCCACGGCCCTTCAATCGAGAACGGTCCCGCCAGTCTTTTTGGCTAGGTTTAGGATAGCCTATGAGAAGTAGCATTGAGCGGCATTGGCTTGATTTGTTCTAGTCAAAGCACTCAGGCAGTGGGCGAAATTAGCTTAGTTCTGCGCTGGACCCATTAGCGCCCTCCCCTCCAATCTTGTCTGTCTTAAGTGTCATGTTCTTCAAAAGTCGATAGTTCTGAAGAACAAAAATAATAAATCCCCACAAAATCGATCAGCTGATTTTTTCATATTGGATGTGTTTCTGCCTCTTAAAACCCTAGTAAATGTTGCTGGCTCCAAAAATAGATATAACTGAGTCTATTGCAAATTGTTACATATTTGCAGCAAAATCCAACACATTTTTTGTCACAAAAAATGTACCCTAAAAAATGTTCTAGAACATCTGCATGGGAAACTGGTTTTATTGGATTTTTATTCGATCCCTCGACCTGTTTATCTACTTACCAGATTGGTCCCCAGCAACCGCCGGAACCCTCCCTTCCCTGCGAAGCTTGGCGATCCTCCTCCTCACCTTATCCTCCCCTCCTCCCCCACTGCTCTCCAGCTGCCACTGCAGCACCTTGTGAAATGACTGAAAGTGTACTACTAAGTAGGTGTTTATATAGCCGTTGGGGTATTATCACAATCACGTTGCAATAATACCTCAACACCGGATCGAACCGTAATCTTGAAAGCGGTGCATCTCTCCCTCTTTCCTCCCCTCCCCTTCCCCTTTCTCCTTCTACCCTCCTCTCAGCCTGCCACGTCAGCACCATGGAGTAAGGGTGAGTGAGTTGGTGTTCATAGGTGTTTATAGTATACCCGCTTCGGGTGTTATCAAGATCATCAAGGCAACATCACGAGGTGTAGCCCTTCCAACTCCCTGGTATTGTTAGCGGTTGGTCCGCACGGACAGAACGACACATATCGAAAAACCGACACACCAAAGTTGTGGTTTATATAATTAGGCTATTGTTTCTCTTCCTCTACTATTAGAACTCCATTTCTACGTTTGTGTGATCTGAATATGGGATGTGGAATATGGGAGTAGAATAAAATACGAAATTAAATTTATAGATTGATAAGATAAAAATTATTCGACTACTATCAGCCTGTGACGAAATTCATTTCAAAGAGAAGAAAAAAGACAGTCAGCGCATGGCTGGAAGCTGCGCCGCTCATCACCGTACTATGGCAAGGCAGCCTTATGTATTAGGTACTGTTCTTTTGTGGGCCTAACCAGAATTTTGGGCCAACCCTCACCGCCTTAGAGCCTTTTTGGCCCCTATGGCATTATCAAATTGCTTTGCGCGTCGGCGCGTCCTTGTGGACATTAATGGTTTGTGGTGATCCCATAAGACTAGTGCTAATAAAAATAACGAAACTCGAGCCCTAGAAGAAGGTGGCTGACGTTACGCAGACGTCGAGTTTTTCTTTAAAAATCTAAAATGTCCCTTCACCGTATAAGGGCAGCCAACACAATGCGAACACCACGATGACAGTCAACATCATCGTCGCCACACGAAGCTTGATTCGTTCATCTCGAATCTGAACGTCGATTGTAAGTTGTTGACACTTCACAAAACATGCTAAAAAAAAAAAAAAAAAAAAAAAAAAAAAAAAAAAAAAAAAAAAAAAAAAAAAAAAAAAAAAAAAAAAAAAAAAAAAAAAAAAAAAAAAAAAAAAAAAAAAAAGTAAGCGAACCCCCTTTTAATTCCTAACTCTAACTCTAACGGCATCCTCTACAACTAATCAAGACGAGGTGGGAGGCAATGAAAATTTCGACTGTGATCAAATCTAAGAGCGAGTCAATCAGCAACATTCAAGTACTTGGAGCGATCGATGTTGCGCTAGGGTCTGTGAAGAAGCTATACTACCTAACATTAACCTTCATACTTTCCTGCACTCGTTTTGAATTGGAAATGGACATGGACACCCACCTCTTAATGCTATATGCAGTTCTCGATTTCTCGAGTATAGCTTATTAAATACCAGTTTTGCTTCGCCCGCTATCGCGCGCATCACACGGCAGGCTTTAGCGAAATTGGAGGACCCATGGAATATCAGCATGAGATACTCCATTAACCATCTCACTATTGACTGTGTTAGACCCTCCACAGTTTCACTGAAGCTCATCGAGAATACGCGTGATAACGTCTGAGCTGAACTGGTATATTGATCACTCTGTAAACATCCAGCATTTTTCTTGAATTAAGATAATTTAGCGGTGAATAGGATTGCTGTCAGTCTCAAAATCAAAACGAAATATGCCTATTTACATAAGTGAGGAGCTAATGCTTATCATTTATTTACATTCACCATTATTTAGAACCCGAAAGGATTAGCGGTTTAATGAGTTTGGGTTTCTTAATAGTGATAGAAATGAAACTTATCATTTGCTGAAGACTTGTTTAGGTTTATGCAGTCGAATTCTATTAAGTAAGCTGGTTATATCGAAACAATGTGCACGTACTACAATTTGTAAATAGGAACGCTCTAGTGTCAACGCTGCGTAACGGAATTGACGACTTCAGCGTTCTGGCGCGCCTTATCGGCCCTTATCAATCGTTATCAGTTTCTGGCACCCACCAACAATGTCCCCGTCCCACCCCACATAACACTTGTAAGTATGGTTGCTCTGGTGTCAACGCGAGCCAGGCAACGGAATCGACGACTTCAGCGTTCTGGCGCGCCTTATCGGCCCTTATCAATCGTTATCAGTTTCCTGGCACCCACCAAATGTCCCCGTCCCACCCCACATAACACTTGTAAGTATGGTTGCTCTGGTGTCAACGCGAGCCAGGCAACGGAATCGACGACTTTTGCGTTCTAGCGCATCTTATCAGCCATTATCAGTTGCTATCGCTTCCAATCATGTACCACCAATGTCCCGGGACCGCCCCACATAAGTGTAAGTATAGACGCTCTTTTACCAATATGAACGGCAAAACGAAATTGGCGATGCTCGCTTTCTAGCCCCTCTTATCAGCTATTATCAGTCGTTATCAGTTCCTATCACGTACCACTTGTGTCCCCATCCCACCCCCTAACATATGTAAGAACCACTGCGCTATCGTTACTGTGACTCGAGCTATGAATTTCCGGTTCAAACATACACACACACACCAACAGACACACGCTAGCCGCTTATATATAGTAGGATAGAATTTTATGTTCTGTGCTGACTTTTGAGTGTAAACATGTCTAAAGAGGCAGACCTGGGAAAAGGGTAGAGGCATTGCAATATAAGGTCAACTGTATGAAATGAAGTCTATGGATGTTTTACTTTCAGAAACAGAAACATTGCCTCCAAGAGGTTCTTAGTTTTCCTACAGCATTAATTTTGAAGAAAGTTGTAACCAATTGGATGCTAAAAACTCGCGCTTTCAGTAGAACAGCCGAAGAAGTCGTGTGAAAGAAACGACTAAGGGGCTATTTTGGACCTGATCAAATTTGATTCCCCAAGAACTCTAAGCTCGTAGTTTTATATGCTAGTTGGGTTTGAGATAATTCAAAGCTCAAGAACTCGCATGTTTCCAAAAATTGATCTGCAAAAAGGATCAACTGGCCTATTTTTAACTCGATCACTTTTGAAATTGGGTCAAGTATTTGATAGGGAACTCTGCGTTGGTCTGTTTTCGGCACTACGAGAGAAGGATCGTGCTCGACAATGCAAAGCACACGACATAGCCGCGCGCAGATTGCGCCGGCTCGTTTATGCCCAGACAGTAACCCTACGGAAGATGGGGGATTGTGTCGAGACTCACTAAGAGGAGGGTGGGCTTCTTGAAATTGAGCTAACGTAACGTTGACCCTGATGGGATACACTATAGAGGGCCTTCTTGAATAGTCCTTTCCATTTTTCCATTATTTCCTTTGTTTCGCCAACAAAATTGGGAACGCTTATCCGATGATATCCAATGATTCAAACAAAAAAGGGGAAATAAAGTATGTAATCTTCCTTATATTCATAGAAAAACTGCTGTGAAGAGACACTACATAAATGCAATTGATTCAAAGCGAAAACGTATTTTAGATCGCGAGATTCTGCCAGCATCTGCACCCTACTGCAGCTCTTGATTTCCCACAAGCACAAAGTGCTATCGAAACAAAATTCAGTAGATCGCCCAAAAAGAGCTACTGCTCGCACCTTGTTTGTTTTCAGAGTTTTCAACAGTATCAAAGGTTCGCTATTCAGAGCACTGATGTCCGAATAGCAGAAGGTGCTCTGGATTCCTGCCAAGTTTCAAGTGTTAACACTAACATGAGCATCAACGGCGAGACTTCGATGATTCGATACCGTGTAGAAGATTTTCGTATACGATACAGAGATGAGCATAAATGGGACGATGAAGGCGAGAATCAGGTTCACCACCACGAATTGCAGCTTTTCGTTCGTCCTCGAAGCGCAGACACACACGGTGTTGTTGCCGTACTCGAAGTAGATCTGTAAACGGAAATTGATTGACCGGAATTAACAGAACACTTTAGGACATAATGGTGTCATGCCGTCAGACAAGCAAACCACTAATGTTGCTAAATTTACCAAAAAATATCGTAAAGGAACAACCCCGTATGAGGTCTGCTGAGAATTCTATTCTGAGCTGATAGAGAATCACCGCACGCACGAGTATCTACATCGTCTCAGCGCTCGAAATGTGCGCACATGAGCCTAGGCCTTACAAAGGGATGTGGGGACGAACTTGAACGTATTGGATGAGACTCGTCGCGCACACGGCCCGTAATACGTCAGAAACGGTATAAAGTGCCATAGACTGGAGTTAAAGTTGACTAGGCGTAAGGCGGTGAATAAATGAATGGCGCAGACCAGACCATATGAACCCCGCTCGAGGCCCCTTCACTACATTGCCCAGCAACAGCGCATCACCCTAAAAATTGAACCATATATGCAAGCGCCCATAGAGAGCGCGACGTTTGCCACTGCACCACAAAGCATTGCTGTGTTACTTCGAAAGAATTGTAGAAAGCAAGGTAGGATCCTATGAGGGTTGCAAAACATCCAGTATCATGGAGAACTGATCCCGCGAGCGATCCAATGTCAACAAGGAACGAACCCACTGCGCCAATCGACGTGTTTGTAACCTAGGATCATGGCCTAGATGATTGTACAGTAGTGAAATGCTCCCGGGACCAAGGAAGGAGCTATAACACGATCAATAAGTGGAACACTGCGGGGACAGCTGATCACCTTATTGGCAGAAAGTTATCAATATTATCGATAGCTCCAGTGGCTTTCTTGCTGCCCACACTCAACACCTTCCACGTACCCCTTTCTTCCCTGCGCTCTGCGCATGGCAGGGACGCAGAGACGCTCAATGCGACCAATGCATGACGTGCAGAGAAAGGGGAAAGTGCATGGGGATTGAAGAGACGCAGATAGACGGCGACTAAAATGTACTCAGGGGTACATTTTAGTCGCCCTCACATAACATTCACCCTGCGTCTCTGCAATCTCCAACGCACTCCCTTATCTCTCGCCGGGTTCGCCGCCTAGGCTAGGTGCCACCTAATACGTTCGCCACTTAACATGTGGTATAGACCTCGCCCTCTGCGGGAGGTCAGCGTGAATTTCCGCCCTTTCCCCATGCTTTTTGAGTGCCGACGAAGGCGAGATCAACGTGACCTATTGGCCAGCTATAGACTGGCTATTTAGGGGACTTTACTACCGTCCCAACGGCGATTTAGGACTAACGGCTAGTTTGATCGGGAGTTTCGCGCCAGCTGAAGCGAGCAGATTCAGTAACTCTATTCGGGACGCGTTCCCATCCTTACTCCAAGAAGGAAGGACAGCACATTGTATGGTTTTCCTCGGCGCGTTGCTTTGGTTCTCTTTTTACACTTTCAGGACGTTCAGCATCCATACTTTCATGATCGGTATTACCCCACCAAATTGATCTGGAGTTGTTGCTCCATGATCAAGCTCAGCGTTGCATTTAGTCTAAAACAATCTGGAATTGCTGGAACAGAGGCCATGTCATTTGGGTGGCTGCGGATGGTGTGGCGATGAAAAGAGCCCCCGTCATCAGTTCAAAGGCAGCGATTACGACAAAGTGGGAGCGCATCTGGGAAGCATAAGCACCACAAGAATGTGCTTCTTGATTGATAGGAAAGCGAGGTGTAGCGCTTTCACGACGGATGATTTCCTATTGCGAGCAGAACTTCGAAAGCACTCCGCACCCAAAAGCGATCCGTCCACCCCTTTAATTGATGATTTACGACAGCGTTCCCAGCAGACAGGTACAACTAAGGGCACCTTGATTGCTGCGTTTTTGGCATGGTGTTACCAAACGCGTAGCGCTGAACACGTTCATAGGCCCGCTTTCTGAGCTCTCACCTGTCACGAGTGAAAACCAACGGTCAGAGAGGGAATGGGGGGTTCTTGTTTTTTTAACGGATTTTCTTCGATTTCTATCGTTAATCATCGATGCAGCACACCCCCCTCTTGGACACCTTCTTCTTAAACCGCAACAGTAGTCCCTCGCCTTTCAGCACCTCGCACACGCCGCAATAAAGCATCCGCTGGCATGAACAACTATCAATTCTCCAGAGTCGCTGCGAGCAGATCAAGCGTGGGAAACCTAAACCTACTAGAAAGTGAAGTACCAACATCGGTATTCGCAACCCTCGGCCTGAAACTTTAGAAGCACTTTCTCCGGGAGGTTCATAATTCGCGGCATACTCAGAAACTTTACCACTTTCATATTTACAAGCTGATATAGCAACGCAATTGCCGGAGTGTAACAAGCGAAAAAATCAGTAGATGGATTTAAGTGAAACATAGAACTTAGAAATTTAAGGGGGGGGGGGATAATCAAAGGATTAATTGACGATATACTGATAGTGATACGTATATTGACAACGTGCAAACTACGTAGAAGCAATATCACGACATTCGAGTATGAATTGCTCTCATAGTAAAATTTAGTAAATTTAGTGGCAACGCAATGTAAGGTGAATCAGTAATGAATCAAATTTATGATAGGATATCCCGGGTCTCATCCAGTAAGGGGGGCATGTGGTGCGACAGTTCATATTGCATGAAGAAATCCACTTTTTTTCAGGGGAGGGAAGCTCCGGGGTGGGTGTAAAAGCTTAAGCGAAATGGTTCACGCACCCCGGGGATTCCCTCCCTTGCAAAAATTGGAATTTCTGTAGCCGACAAGAACTGTCACACCACATGTCCCCCCTTTACTGGATGAGATCCAGCCAATATCTCTCTTCAGTAGACATGGACTAGCTCTGACGTGGACCTTTTGAGCTCACCTCATCGTAGCCATACAGACTCGGAGTTGCCAAAGATCCGCTCACAATCCAAATGCCAGCAATCACGTATAACGTGTAGCCGGCTTCCCATAATGTGTACCTGAAATAGGGCCTGTGTAATCCTGAGGTGGGTATGACCATGAATTCGAGGCGACAGGTTAAACCTCACTTCAGCGTATGGCAAATCGCCAAATATCGATCTGCTGTTACTGCAACAAGAGTATAAATAGAAGCACATGAAGTCGTAGCATTTATCCATGTTGACAGTTTGCAAAACAAAGCGCCAAGTTGCCAATCTGGAAATGAAGGCTTATGCAATGGCTATGGACTTGGATCCAGTCTCAAGGGCAAAGGTAGTGCAATGGGTAAAGGACTGCTTCCTCTCCGACGAGACTCTGGCGTGCCTTGCAACAGTCTCATAAATCACATCCAAGGGATAGAATCTGGATCACAACTTGGGAGGCATAAGGTTCATATCCCTCTCTACGTGATTAGCTATCTCTTGCGTACAAAAGGTGTGGAAAAGGTCGTGTTGCTCATTTTTCGGTTCTGTGGTACCCTACTTCTGGTCTTGCTTTTGCCGTTCCACAATAAGCGTTTGTAGCTGATTAACACGTTGGAGACCGCGCATTTTACGCAGGGTCAACTGTTACGTTGGACCGATATATGGGAGCGCACGTCGGACCCGATGCTCACCGCTTGTTCTCCGGACGCACCCGGCATTCACTCTCGCCCGCGGCAGCAGTCGCTGATGTCTCCTGCGCCTCCTACGCCCACTCTCGAGCATTCCTCTAGCGTAGCGTTTGTATTTCGCAACGGCACGGATTGACCTGCTCTACGTTCTCCGGGAGGCCTGGGACTTCCAGTGGAGTTTTTTAAAGGGCCCTTATTAGCAATTGAGCACAAAAACCTAGTTCACGTTGATCTAGAACGAAATCTTATGATGAAATGACGAACGACCGAAACACAAGGGAAAATGTGGCACTTGATTTCCAACCAATAATGGGTCCGTCAGGGCTACCACAACTTGGCTGAAAAGACTGGCGAAGCTATCAGGGATGGGCTGCATGGACTTCAAAGCTGTTAATATTGCACACAGACAGCCACACTCTATATATTGCAATGCATTCAATACCGGTGGCGGTAATAGTTCCCTGAAAGAAACCTACTGAAGTAAGTTTTGGAGCTATCATTTGATACTTCACTCCCACGTAAAACGTTTTGCTGTTAATTTTCTATGATACCAAAGGAAAGGCCAACGTCCCAGCCCACTTGAAGTTGAAGGATAGTTACGCATATCCCCTTATAAGGCTAGTTGGGCTCGACCACGCTTAATGAGCTTGTACGGTGGCTAGAAGCGTAGCACGCAAGTCCGACGGGGTAGGTCTCTTCCCATACTTCAGAACAAACGTCTAGGTTAGCGCTAGGCTCTAAGAAAGTTTACGCAGCCGACCTTCCACCTGCTGCGACACGCCCCGCCCACCGCTCGATATCTTGACTGCGTCGGAATGTTGATCTGCTATGCTCTCTCTACTTAGACTTCTCTAGCGCTCTCCGCGCTCACATTATCTCTCATCTCCCTGCCGGCCTTTTGAACTTCTCCGCACCGTAGAGGAAATGGCTCGTATTTCCTAAGCATTTCACGATTTCTTTTTCTCTTTTCTGCACTGGCGGTCCACTACCTACCCCTACTTTCACATTTAAGTGGAATTACTCATAATTCAATCCTGAATCTTGCCTTTAAGCTCCCGAACTGTTGAGGTCATTCTATTCGTGCATACAATCTAAAAAAGTTCAGAACGCTAAAGCGCATGCAGTAAGTGGCACCGAGCCATCATGGGAGGGATTCAACTGGCGGTGTCACTTACGACCAGCAAGCTAAGGCGCTTAACGTCATCTTCATATAGGGAAATGTTTGCAGCTAGTGCTGGTCTGTAAGCTACTTAATTCGTTACAGAATCGCTTCAAGTAATGGAGAATCAGCTACTCCTCCCTCTCTCCTTCCCCAAGACTCAGTTGCGCCAATCCATCGATATATCCTCATCTTCACTAATCGCGCTGCTTGACCACGTTGAGCTTCTCTTGTGACTGTATTTTTTAGTTGCTTTTGCCAGCCTGGAGTATGGTTATTAGAATTACTTGATGCCAAAAAGGTTGCGCTTCAAGGCTACGTGGCGATGCAGACAGGCGCCTGAACTCCCTGTACTCTACCCATATGTCTTAGCGTTTCACGACTTCAAAACCTGAAAATGCACTACCTTGGGGGTTAAAATATGTTGAGAACACGTGGTTGGAACGGCAGCAGATGATTATGAGCAAAACTCCAGCATGGCCAGCGACGATAATAGACGGGATAAATCTGTACGGTACTCTGCAGTGGTGTGACATGTGGACATACCGCCAGTTACTCAACGAAACGCTTTTCCTGAAAATGCTGCGTACCAATAGCAATATAACTTCCAGTTTCGATCAAATTGGATTGTCTTTTAACCGGTTGCCGTGCTCACGACGGGCCAACCGCTGCGGGAACTGGCAACCAACGGAACGGGCTACATACCCCTCTACTCTCTTGAAGACTGCTTCACTACGACTTGTTCACCATCCGTACATTCAAAGTTGAAGAAGAGAACGGTATTCGAGATGAGATCTAGAGAATTCTGAGAATACTGAGCGAAAGGTGGCTTTGCGAGGGGAAAAGCAAAAGCAACCAAGAAGACACATTTGAAATTTCCACTGACTCTATGTGGATGCATCGAATGAGGGAAAGAATACACCGTCGTTGCACTGAGGAGAGCGGAAAAATGCCAAGTTAGTAAGTCGTACGCCGGAAACGAGCCGGCAAACATTTACGTTATTCCACGCTCATTGATAAGCATGTGGCGGCCGCTGTAGGACCCGAACAAACGTCTTAGCGCCGTTGCCCGCACTTTTGTGTCGCGCCTCCTACGCTTACGCTTAACGAGCCCCTTTTCCACTCTAGGAATGATTGCCTCTTGGAATATTGATTCGTAGCTTTGAAATTGTGTTTTTCCCGGCTGGTCTTGGGGTCTTTACCTTTGGAAAAAATCGAGCCACTCCAAAATGAATTTCAAAAATTGTTAGATTCATTGTATCGACGGTTGACACAGGGTATGGAAAATTGGAGGGTTCAGCAGGAGAGGGGTAGCCGAACCGAAACTAAGTCAAACACCATGCTCCTCTTGAACAGATCAATCGTAGTGTATCACGATGTTATTAGGCCCCTTTTCGACATTCCAAAGCTAAATGCTTCAGAAAATCCAATTGTCTTTTTTGAAGTTCTTTTTCTCAATGACAGTTATACATACTTACTGCAGCAGTTTTTTAAATGAAAGTTTTTTTTTTCCACAACGCAAATTTTTTACGGAATTCCGCACATGGAAGCGCCTTTTCTGCACTATCCGAATTCATGTGTCTTACCGTCATGGTATTGGTATAGGCTACGACCATCAGTAAAAACATTCGGGTCCGGTTTAACGATGCAGCCAGTAGTCATTCGGTTTAGCTGCGATAAATCACATTTTTGAGGCGGAAGTGGTGTAGTGACAAGTGGCGCGCTTACCACGCGAGCGGTCCGGGGATCAAATCCTGGGTCGTGAGTCGCCCGGGCCAACCAAGCCTTCCATCCCTCCGGGGTCGGTTAATTGGTACCAGACTTGTCTGGGAGGATAAAAACACTGACTTGAACATCGGCTGGCCCCCGCAAGTCATTGTATAGGTCACATCGCATTCAAACGCCACTGCGAATGTGCAAATGGAGTAGAATGCGTGGCGCATCAAAACAAATGCGGATTGATCACGGTCAACATGGCTTCTAGTCCTTTTGTCCTTTTTCACCCACAGTTTGAAAATATGACGAATGGACTTGTTCCCCAGTATGGTTTAGTCCAAGGTGGGATGTTCAGCGGACGATTAATGACTCAAGTGAAGAGTTTATTTACTGCTCGAGTCTCTTTGCGACGGGAAAAGTGCGTTACCTTGAGTTAGCTATGCTCATTAGATGTTTCGGCCAATTATGCCTTCTGAACCTCCTCCTTCGCAGCCTGTTTTCAGCAACTTCTGCCTGAACGTAGAAAACACAAATATGTTCTCTTGGGAGATTCTATCCTTCGGCATATCATAGACATTTCGTGTGAAGCAGAGAATATTATTAGCAAAAATCTTCTAGGCGAAAACCCACTACTATACACCTGGATCAGCCTGATGCAAAATGCGAATCGATGCATTCAGATGCCAACCCCCAAGTATGACAGTTCCTTACCCCCTCACAGAGAAATTGCAGATTGTTGCCGGAGACAATCAAACAACCGTACCGTGAAGCGATCAGTGACACTGCTCCTGATTCTTAGCTCTCTTCCCCTCTTTCTGACTCACTGCCCGTTTTTTCTAAGCCATGCTTGAATTATTCACTTGCTTCGCATTTTTTGGATATGAGTTATTGAGCTTCTTGGGAACCGAGACGTCCTGCTCATTAAAGCGAGAGATTGCGATAAAGTGTGTGTGCAGCGTGGAAGTACATGCACTAGTGGAAGCAGTAGTCAGGAGCCAATGAAAGCGATATGTGGCGCTTTTGTGGCCAAAGGTGGGCTACCTGCAGCGTACTGGGACTGCCTTTCCTTTCCGCCACGGCCTGCGCTCCGCCTCCAGTCGCAGCGTCCTTCATTATCTCTTTGATGAGGAATTCCGCTGTAGACATGGTATTCTATAACTGCTCCATGGGAACGGATCGTTTACGACAAACTGCCTTTTCTAGCTGTGATGGTGGGCTATCGCTTTTACATGTGCAAAAGGCCTCTCAGTGAGCCATTACCGCAGGTCAACGGGCAAAGAAAATTGTCCCATTTTGCGTGTTCTCGACAACCTTCTGTGCTTTTTTCGCGAGTGGGGCATTACTCAGCACCTCCGCTTCCACGATGCAACCTTACTCCAATGCTTTCGTATCACTCGCTATCGCATAGAAACCGAATGACTTTGAACAAGTGGCGAAAAGGCCGTGACGCTGGCAACGATGACACTTCAAGCTGTGCTGCGGATGAGATGATACGACTCTACTATGCTAGTCTCATGCGGATCGCTCTGCAA